ATATATATATATATATATATATATATATATATATATATATATATATATATATATATATATATAACCGTAATTGATGGGTTTTCATACCAATCAACAATTAGCAGGCATGATATGCCAGTGAATCATAACGAAAATGTGTCCACCAAAAGTATTATAGAATATTACATGAAGATGGGTTTAAATCAAGACCTTGTGTAATGTAATATCATAGTGGTTTACTATAATATATGATCATGAAACAAGTACTTCATTGTGAATTTGTGATTTTGTCATCTGTTCAAAATTTGTCAATATGCGGGAACTGTGAGTCTGCGATATTTATTTTGAAATTGTAAGTAAATTTATTTTGTCTAACATATTATATTATAGTCAAACTAGCATAAAATTATAATGAGACATATAAATGCCTTGGTATGATTGATGGGGTCCGTGTGTGTCGATAATAAGACATACCAATATGTCTTTTTTTCGTTCGGTATGAGTTCACATAAGATTAATGGTTACCATTACAAGTTGGAAAATGTTAGAATAAACCTACGTTAAAATAGTCTTACGACAATATCAATAATTATGGTCCTCCAACTAATATATGATGTTATTTGACGGAAGTAATTATAATAAAGTCTAATGTGTGGCTAATTCTCATTAGATATTGCAAACGTACAAGACACATGGAACTATCTTCCTCTAGAACATCATGATTGGTCCTATGATCACATCATCATCAAGATCGATAGCATTTCTTTTATAATTATTCCCATTTAAAGCAAACTCCTCCAGAGATGGTTTACCACTTTGGTGAAATAGAAGCCCCCGGCATTAGAACTTGAGAGCTCCCTATGAAAATTAATAGCATCAAAACGATAATGCAAAGGGAAAATGTGACCTACTACTGCCTTTAACTATCATGTGAGCCACCGGGTGATGGTACTAAGATTGATAGCATCATAACGATGATAGAAACGGATAATGACTTATGATGGTAATTATCTATTTGTCGTGTTTACATTTAACCAACATTTTTTTTAAATAATTGACCAACGAACTTGTTAAAAATGTTCAATTGTTACCATTGTGACCGACTATCTTAGGTTACAACCGGTAGCGGATATATTAGCGGATACAAGGTCTTTTTAGTGGGGTGCATGCACCCCACTTAACATGCATTCTTACCTACATTTCATAGAGAGAACCTGTAAGTATAATTGATTTTCGATTAATGGACCCCATGAGTTATACTCATGCATCCCAATTACAATCATGTTTGGATCCGCCATTGGTAACTTAGGAGCGTAACACTAAATGTATGCAGATGCTATTCATCAAATTAGAAAAGCACATATCTTATATGATTATAACAATATACAAACAAACTTTACATAAATTTCACACATATAAGTCAACCGCATGGATTTGGGAAAACGAATCAGGACATTGAATGTCTTCGATCTTTACTTGGTTTATTCATGCCTCTTGTACTCGAAGGTACAGCCGCATCAGCACGAAGAAATGGCGTAAGTTTCCCCAACTTTTTCGATAAAGAATTCATAAAGGATTTCCGAGGCAAAGGTGGCTTATCAGCAGAAAAACGAGTACCACCAATCGGACTGCTAACTGCAAATTTGTCACCAGATGGTCTTTCTACCTCTTTCAACTTCATTTTCATCTTCAAGAGCTCAAATTTTAGGTCCTGGTTCTCCTTTTTCAACTGTGAAAGCTCATCGGATAATGGCCGGATGGTGGTGGTAGTAGTGGTGGTGGTGGTTGGTTTCACTACTATCTGACCACCACCATCCATGGTGTCTCTTAACCGTTGTTGTTCATAGTAAAGAACTTGAACCACGGTCTGTACAGGAAGCCGGTCATTTTGGGCAGCATGGGCACATGCTTCACGGGATAACTTTTGACAGTCCATTAAACTGCACACTTTCTTTCTTTCGGTATCACTTAACATTGGATGAGCCTGAAAAGTTTGAATTGTTAAATGTTATATAATTTATAAGGGTATATTTCACTTTAATCAAATTAATTTGTGTGAGGTAACCAACTACTAATGCTGTTTAATATGTACCATTATGACCTGGGGTTAATGTGGTCAATGGGTAACATGCTACTTTTTTTTTCTTCACAAAACACTATTGTTTTAAAAAAAAGTACTATAAAAAAGGTATGAAACTGGATCTTTGTGTTAATAAAAAGATAGTTCGTTACCCATTTGTGACATCACCCCTTATGACCTGTTATAGCACGTATTATCGGTTTTGGGTGCTGATTTGGAGTCTATGTAGTTTAGTCATTTTTAATAACGGCAAGGGCAACCAACTATTTTATATGTTCTCATTTAGTCACTTTACTCATTTTATTATTTATTTTTATATATTTATTATATATTATTTGAATTAAATAAATAGAATAAAATAAAAGCTTTCACCCACAAATTTTAATGAATAAACGAGAACATACAAAATAATTTGTTACCAAATATAAAGAAAAAGAAGATTAAAAAAAATACCTTTAGGAAAATATCAATCGCTCTATACATTCCATCTTCTGAAACCTTAGCTTGTTCAGGAATATGCTCAGAAAGATTAATGAATTTTGACACCAATAAGTTCCTATCAGAAGCTATTTCAGCAAGATAACTTTCCATTAACTTTCCAACTTTTTTCATGTCATTTTCTTGATTATTTGTGGTTTCTAATTCGTATTCAAGGTAATTCATCATGACTCTTTGGGTAGTATCAACATCAAACAATGTGTCACCATCAAAATGAAAAGATGGAATTAGTATGTCATCCAAAACTGCCTGCCCGAGTTGTAAGCCTATTCGATTTTCTAAGTCTAACCTACAAGCCATAGTTGTTTCCAGATATATGGCTGCCCGAAGCAACATTGAAAGAAAGCTGACCGACATTGCATTTCTTTCTCTTGGTAAGAGGCTTACTATTGTTTCTAGAACTATCCTCTTTTCATGTTCTTGTTTTGAGTTGATTTTTTTCTTGCTCTTTCCGTATATCTCCTGTTTGATGTTAAATCATATAAATTATTGAATATATTGCTATGCAAAATCATGAGATTCATAGGGGAGTTCTATTGAAAAAATTCCATCAAGAATGAATAAAGTGCATATTTGCATAAAAAGGAATTTTTTTAAAGGATCAAATGCAAGTTGCAAAGTATTTGCATTTATCGGTTTATTATAGCATCAAACTTCTGTTTCTTTTTATTACAACATCGTGTTTCGGTTTATTTCCTAATGATGCATTGTACTTTTGGTTGATATTAGGACTTTGTACTTTGAAAAATCAACCTATTTATAGAATTGAATTTCTTTATTTTTTATTTTGTATTTGGAAGACATTGTTGTTATTGGGTAGATTTTTCACCATATAATGTTGTAATGGAAAGAAACTAGAGTAGGATGGTACAATAAATGTATAAATGAAAGTACATTGTTATTTCTTGCGTTTAACCCTTGATACGATAATAAGTGATAAGCCAAGTGCATATTTGCATAAAAGTAAATCTTTGAAGGGTTAAATGAATGAAATAGCAACATACCTTCATTTATTTGTGTTACAATACCACATCTGCCGAAAGTTATTAAGTTGGTGACCTATAAGTCTAGGTGTTCATTCCTCCTACAAGGTGTCTTTACAAGGTGTCTTTTCCACACTGGGCTTATAGCTTGATATGGGACTAGTATTAGATTCGTTCGTAACAATTTGTTTATTTTTAGCATCACACTTACATTTTTTTCTATTACGTAGTTGTACTTTATTATTATTATTTTTTTAATTTGTACTTTAGAAAATCTACCCAGTTATAAGTTATAACATGATACATTTTAAAAAGATTTTATAAAGACATTTTAATTTTGAAAAATCTGTCCAATTATTGCAATAAAAACTTATATATATTCGAATGACGTTGCCAGAAGTATTGAATGGAAAAATATCTAAGTACTTTTATCGATTTGTTTATTATAGCATCCTTCTTTCGTTCCGTCCACGTCCAACATTGTACTTTGAAAATTACACCCAACTATGGCAATGTCATCCAAATACAAAACATATTTACTACTCTAAATGGGTAGATTTGTGAAAATTTAATGCCTAATATGAAAAAAGATTCAGAATTACAATGTTATAATTATGTTACATTCTATAATAATGAAATAAATAAAACTATGTTGCTATTTCAAGCATTTAACCCTTCTTTGAAAACACACGAAGCAAAAAGAGACCTTACCAAACCCCGAAGACATTTTTGGGCATAAAGCATCAAAATCGGACCAAGAGCATATTGTTTATACCCCCTTGAAATCATTGCAAGAAGAACCCTTTGAAATATATCGATCCTAAGCACAATTAGATCTTCAGCCCACCAATCAACAACAACTTTCTGGTGTGAAGAACATGAAGAAGAAACCAAAGGACCAGTGCTTCCGGAAGATTCTTTGGTGACTATAAATGCTATAGCGTCTATACACCGATTAATTAACTTAACTTTATTAGACATTGGTAACAAATTTACTGATGATTGCAAAATGGAAACAGAACCAGCCAATGTTTTAAGTCCAACTTCAGTCAAATATGCTTCGGATCTTGTTACAAGATTTCCAATTGCATAATCTTCTGTCATTTCAAGAAACTCTGAAACACATCTCACCATGGCAATGTTTTCTGTTGATAATTCGAAGTTTATTCCATAACAAAACTTTGCTGCAAGTTCAAATCCTTCGGGGCCTCCAGGGATATCAGGGATTTCAACCATTAAAAGACCAGAATCTTTGGGGTTGGATGCCATTTTTCTTATGTAACCACACTTTGACACCAATGGAAACTGCATCAAGTTCAAGAATTTAAGTATAAACTTACATAAGATGAGTAATAACAAGAGTGTAGAATTAAATTATACCTTGTGTAATGAAAAAGAAGCACCTCCTGTGTGGACTGTAACATCGCTTGGGATATCTTGGGAGAAAAGCCTGTTAACATTGAAATAAAGTCCCTTTAGATCTTCAAAAAAACTAAGAAACAAAAAGAAAACAAGATTGAGATGATTAAAAGCAAACCAATCACTAGTTTTCTCCATGGAATTAGTCATAATTAACTTGCTCAGTTTAGTCCTCTTGATAGGAATGATAAGGGGTGTGGGAAGTGAAGGCATTCATGTAAAACATCCCTTACGACAATGATTGACTACTCATAACAAGAATCATGTTCTATATTTCACCATAAACAGCAAAAAGATAAAAGCTTTACGAAAGTACACACATTTCACTTGCTGTTTGTACAACATGAACAGAAGCAAAAGAAGGAATGAGTTGTTTCTTTCGTTTTCCACCACCGTTATCTTGCATTAGATTTATTGATTCTGTAGCATGTCAGACGATCAACATATTTAATGAAATACCCATGATGGATATTAGCGTTTGGCCAAAAAGGAGGAAGATACAGGGAGAAAATAGTATTTTTGTAAAGTTCGTATTGTGGGTATTTGTGAGGGAAACTTGGATAATTACAAGAAAATATATAGGTGGAATTTGCGAGTGTGTGGTGGTGAGTGAAAATAGGATTTTGGATTATTTGGACAAAAGATTAGAAGTTTGTTATATTGACCACTCACATATTTTATCAACCACATAATGTGCATCTTTTCTGATAGGGATAACGAACTGCCATTGGCCGATGAACTATTGACCCAATGCTTGTAGATGATTTATCATCAATAAAATATGCCAATACTCAAATCGTCCGGTATTACTACTGAATCAACAAGGCTTAAATTGGAATAAACTTCCAAGCAAAACCCCATTATGTCTTCTCTCTTTAACCGTGTACTTGATGTCGTATGGCATAGATTCTTTTCCAAAAGCCATTAAATGCAACCAAACAAAAAAAAGGAGACTTCAATTCTACTCTAACTGCAAAGGACCGAGGCCAACTCTGGGTTAGTGCCCCACAACCTCGTTATGTCTTTCTCTCTTGCTGTGTCAAATAATGAAGAAAGACAACTGGAACATCGCCAAAATAGTTTGGTATGATGGGATGGTTGTTTAGATCTTTTGTAAAAAAGGCACAATAATTTTTTGTCATAATTTGTGTTTTATAGGATTATAAAATTTGTATAGTATACAACCCGGTAAAACATAAAATATTGTGAATGACAAAAAAGTTGTGTAATTATACAATCCTCTAAAATATAAATTATTATGTATAGCGAAAAGTTGATATATACCTATTAGCTCATTTTGAAAAAAATTATATTTCTAGTTCTAACAATATAATCACAATTATCACAAATAAATGTATGTGAATTTGCTAAATAGCATCGTCCCTGAATATTTAGAGGAACACTTTATTCTTTGTGTGTATAATTTAAAACGATTCAACTATCCCTAGAAAATAAAATAGCTAAGCATCTGTCTTCTCTACTTGGTTTGGGGCCTCTATTAGCTACTTGCTATTGAGGTGTTCCCCTTATAATATCATTGGTGTTTAAAAAAAAAACATGTGTATGTGTATGCTTATTTATTTGCTAGTAGTAAGGTTTTGCACGTCCCATTCAACTTCTAGACGTAAATGTTCATCGCCAAAGATTCACATTCTATTTAAGGGTTTATAGATTATATTTTTATATATTTAAGTGGTGAGTGTAATGTGATTCTCGGTCTCCTTCCAAATGTCCATCATTCGTTATCATCTTGTGTTAATTGTTTCAATATAACAACACATTTTGAGTATGTTTCATATTCTCCTTCTAATTGTTGGTGCTTCATCTCCCCCGCTTCTAGGGGTGAGCAATACCGAACTCGAAAATCGAAAAACCGATAAAAAAAACCCAAAATTGAAACCGAAAAACCGAAACCGAAGCATAAACCGACGGTTTGGGATTAGTTTTTCTAAAAACCGAAATTTTCGGTTTGGGTTTGGTTTTTGGATTTGATAAAACCGAGAGAAACCGAACCGAACCGATAACATAAAATGTTTAAAACGTCTGAATATTTTAGAGTAAATTATGGAAATGGTCCTTATGGTTTGGTCGAATTCTCAGTTTTGGTCCCTAAGTTTAAAATGTTATAGGTTACATTCCAGGTTTGTGAAAACTGCAATGTAGGTCCATGGTCCATATAGAAAAGACCAAATTACCCTTTTCTCTTTTTTCTTTTTTCTATTAACAATTTATTATATATATTATTGTTTTTTTTATTTTTATTTTAATAGAGTTAATATAGATTATTTATAAAATTATTTTTATTTTTTTAAATCAATTATCTAAATTATATAAAATCATATTATTATT